AATGTTTATTGAGCCTGTGCAGTAAATGCTGCTGAGGGAGCTGGATCCGTAGTGGAGGGGATGAGGAATTATAAATCCTGATCCCTGGCGTTTTGCAGAGGCAGCTCAAGACTGTGAGGTTGAGATTTCAGATCTGTTAGTGATAGTAGTTTATTGGTAGCTACTTCAGATCCTAATCAATTGAGATTTCAGCTAATTTTACCAGCTAAGCAGATCTCCTGGTCTAGTGGAAGGTGTCCCTGCCCATGGCAGGGGGTTGGAACTGGATGATCTGCAAGGTCCCTTTCAACCCAAACTATTTTATGATTCTCTGATCTCTCCAGAAGATACTCAAAGGAGTATAGAGGCTACATGGAGACCTGAGGCTTAACAATGTCTAGAGTAAAAGCACAAGAGAAAAGGGAAAACAAAGCTGTGCATCATGTTGGTATATTAAATTTAAGTCATTTGAAAAGTAGGAACAAGGACACAATTTAAAACTAATGTAAAAGCATATTAGAATCACAGGATGGTTTGGGTTGGAAGGGACCTTAAAAATTATTTTATTCTGTTCTTATTCATGGGCAGGGACACCTTCCACTAGACCAGGTTGCTCCAAGCCCTTTCCAACCTTGCCTTGAACACTTCCAGGGATGGGGCATCCACAGCTTCTCTGGGAAACAATTAGATAGGGATTATGTAAAAATCTAAAGTAAAAAGACATGGGTAACCAGCATTAATAGGGGACATGAAAAGACCTTGTAAATACATTGGAAGCTGGAGGGAGTCAAGGGAAAATGCAGGTCTCCTCCTTAGCAGAGTGATGATAATAAATAAGAGATACCACACTGAATAAACTGCTGGGTGTAATTGTCTAAAGGAACCAAAATCCCTTTGGACTCGCTGTGGGAATAATTTTGGTAATTAACAGGTCTCATTTGAGAGCAGTGTATTGTGATTTTTCCCATCTGAGACCAGTGCAGGCTCTGGCATTTTACTGGAAAGCAGGATGTTTAGGCAGGCTGACTGAGAGGGTCAGAGGCAAAATTTCTTCAGACATCAGTACTTCAAAAAGCAAGAATTAAAAAGCATTTATATAAGTATATTTGTTACTGTGGATTGGGCAGTTTAGGTAAGGCCAAATCACTGTATCTAATCCAGATGGGCTGTGTAGGAAAAAGAGCAGTGTATGGATAGATGCTGAGTGTAAAGTTGTGGTCTGAAACCTGCTTAGAGCTCTTTCCTTTAAAGTCATGAGTTGCTAAGACTTCCTGATCCCAGGGCTTTTCTGGGGGAATATGAGACAATAAAAATTCTGCTCATAAGAGGAGGTTTTTTTTTAATTTCTTTGTGGTCAGCAAAGTGGTGCACATTACCAAGAAGTTCTGTTCCCTTCCAAACACAGACAGTAACCATAAAACCAGAAATAGGGATTTTTTTTTTTGTGGTCTATGACACAAAATACTCCCATAGAGGTATTCAAGGACTCTCACCCCAGGTATGTGAATAAGGCTGAGTTTATCCAGCAGGTTTTCTGGTTTGTATGGAATCATAGAATGGTTTGAATTGGAAAAGATTTCTAAGATCACCAAGTCCAACCATCAGCTTGAAAGCACCACCATATTCACCACCAAACCACCTTCTCAAGTGACATATCCACATGTTTTTTGGACACTTCCAGGAATGATGACCCCACCACTTCCCTGAGCAGCCTGTTTGATGCTTGACCACTCTTTCCATGAAGAAATTTTTCCTGATATCCAGTCTAAACCTTCCTTGACACTACTTGAGGCCATTTCCTTTCGTCCTGTTGTCCTCTTGCCTTGTTCATCCTTCAGCAAGAGTATCTGTCCCGTTTGTTATCCTGGGAATGTCTGTATGGAGTCCTTCCTGGATCTGAAAAAGGGGATCCAGTCATACCACGTGTGTTGGTTTTCATGGCACGTTCAGTGTCTCTGTCCTGCTACACGTGGATAAACTTTCCTGCAGGCAAGGTTGACATTAACCTGTTCAGCTCCAGGTACAATCAGGCGAGCAGGAAACTCAGGCTGAACAGAAAATGTTTGGGGAGGCAGTAAACATTTCGCTGATGGGAGTATGAATATATATTGAGGGTAGAGCTTGGTCCTTAATTTAAGTTTTCTGGATGAGGTCAGTGGAAGGACAAAGCTCATGGTAGGTCAGGTGGAGAGAGGAAGCCTTGCAGCAAATATTTTTATGTACAGAGCTCCAGCCTGTACATGCTGTTCAGCACCTACGAGGGAGGGCTGAGCCTGCTCTGCAGCCTGAGATTTCTCACTCTGCTCCCAGGAAGAACATGCTGAGGGTACCTTTTACCAGCAGTACATATTCTAAAATTAAAGGTTCAGTTAATAAGTCATTTTAGCAACAACAGCAACAACAGAATTACAGTCTGTTCCTTGGGCTTTGTGCAAAACTAAGTGCTGCGTACTCAAATGGAATTATATATTTTCTTCTGGGAGCGAGAGATCCAATTTCTGTGCCATTTTACGAGATAGGTTTGGTACTGGCTGTTTATCAGACATTGAGAGCACTGCAGAGAGGGAAGGGGGTGGAAGAAAAAAAAACCTCAAAAAGTAGTAGCAGAAGATGCTTTAGTAGTTAAGTAGTTCTTTTGTAGGAGAATTGTTTCCAGGACGACAGGGTTGATGGAGTTATAAAGTGAGTGTGTGTTTCCTTTCCTCTTCTGCTTGTTACTAATCAGTGAGGTAGGAAAACCTCTCTCTGTACCCGAGTTGTTACATCAGTTATTTTTAGTCTGTCCTACCTTGTCTACATGGCTCTTTTCAGCTGTTTAGGAGATATCTGGTATGCAAGAAATCATATTTGCCTTGTTGTTTGTTAAGATCACAGGGTATTTTAAAAAATCAAAATCTGGACCTTGAACAGCTCTGTTTGGTATTTTTTTTTTGGTGTGCATTTGTTTTTCATAGAAATAAAACAGCTTTGTGCTTTAAGTTTCAAGCTCATCTCGCTGGTGGGATGCGAGTTTCTTTCACTGTTTGCACAGAATTTTTTCTCTGTTGATATAATACATATTTTTTTGTATATACTAATGATATACTGTCATGCAAATGATTTGGAATAAATTAGAGTATTAATTTTCTCCTAGAGTATATTCAGCTGTAGGACTCCATTGTGAGATCTATTTTCAACTGGAGTTTGGAATTTGGAATAAGAAGGCACTGAATTAAATGTAGTTGCCAATTTTAAAGGGGCACAGCTCGCATAAAATCACATCCATCTCCAAAATATGTTGATCTATTTAAAATCTGGAGGAGTATGATGAAATCTGCACTTGTGTGGTTTTCCTTTGTATATTTGATTGTACTCTGAGCTTAATTTTTTTCTGGATTGTTTTTTTCCTGCACAACATTTTGAGAAAGAAACGTCTTTTTTTTTTTTTTTTTTTTTTTAAAACCACAAATATTGGCTGTGCATTTTGCAGGCAAAAAAATAACAAAAATAGTGGCCAGGTCATTAGTGAAAAACACACTTTGTAAAACTCTATTGTTGTGCTAAATTAAATAGCTTAAAGTTTAATGGTGCCCCTTATAAAGGAGTTCGATGATTTCATACCCCCTAATGATACATGTATTTATTTCATATTGAGATTTTAGGACCCAAGATTAAGAAAACACTTCTCATGCATAGTTGTCTGATGAATTAATGAGATAATTGTCTTCCTTCTGAAGGCATCGGGGTTCTGCTGATGCTGGAGGTTGGATGCCATGTGCCAAGATCTGTGTGATCACTTTGTGAACAATGGAGTTTTATTCTTTGGATTTGTTTTTCTGTCCAGTTCTATGATCCTTTTATTGATTTGGGGGAAAGCAGTATGACCACCATGCTCAGGTGACTGATTACTGCACCATCTCCATATCCTAGGGCTTTCTAACTTCTTGGGAAGGGGAGTGAAGCAGTTTGACAAATCCATGTTGGCATTTACTTGTTGCTTTGTTATTCCTTCCTGGCTGCAAAGCAAAAACCAGAATTCTTTCTGCCTGGTGTCCTCCTCTTTCCATCTCTCTCTCTTTTTTTTTTTAATAGTCTCTTTTTTTTTTTCCTTGAAAATTACCATTTCCAGCAGAAGAAGAACAGCCCTAACCTTGAGTGATGAGATGTCTCTGTGCTTCATTTTCCAGTACATCCCCACTTACTTAGTTTTTCCATTATCTGGAGCATACCAGTTCTTCATGGAGGTTTGAGTACTTCTTCCAGGTCGCTACTTGGCCTAGTAAGGGAATGAGGAATTTTTTTGCAGCTTCTGCTGGAAGTTTACTAATTATGTGGTTAAATAGAGAATGTAGCATCGGAGCATTCTTTTTCAGGACAATACCCTCATAACTCTACTTAGGAGATTTTTGTGTCTGGTTTTTTGGTTGCTTGCCTTTATTTTTTTTGTTTCAATTCCCAGTAAGGTATGGATATACCTTCTCTATTTCTACAGGTAATTCAAAGTACAAAGCAGGACATAATGGCCAACCCCTTCAATATTGAGCTCCCACTGAAGTGTTTTACGGTGCCTGAAACTTTGGGCAACCAGATATGACCCCAAACCAAGGGCAGGTCATCACCTTTCTGAATTTTAGGTGCTGAAGGCCAACAAGAAGCAGTCACAGATCTAGCAAGACTACAAAGATATCTTTGAGCAGTTAGATATTTTCTTTTTATTTGTTTATTCATTTTCTCTATGACTACGAGGAATTTCTTTGGTCAACTCTGCAGTAGGTTTTGGGTTTTATTTCTAGTTCTTCAGTGTTATGCTCTAATCACCAGGCAGTCTCCATGGTTCATCTTGATAGAGCTGTGTCATGTAGGAGAAATAGTCTGGCAATCAAAATCAGAGAAACAGAAAAGGAAGGAGGGAAATATTTTCCAGTGTTGACTGAAAGCAAACAGTAAGCTTCAAGCATTAATTAACAATGTAATGAGAAACTTCAGTTCAAGCAAATACTTCATTTTTTTTAACAGAATTTGTCTTCTTTCTTGTGTTGCAGAAAAAGGAAAGGTGGCTGAGTTGTACAAGTGAACCAGGACAATCCAAAACGTAAGTCAAAGAAGGATGTTCATCTTCCTCTTTTATAAGACTGTAGGTCAGTTGTTCTCTAAGACATCCATTTAATTAAAAAGGCAATTAGCTTTCCTCATTTCCCAGACTGTGAGTGCAGTTTGTAGAACTGAGTTCCCTGGTTTGGAGCCACGTGGCTCAGGGTGAAGTTGCATGAGGTGGATCACTTTTCTCCTTTTCTCATCACTGTGTCAAGGCATAAAGGAGTTCAGGGTTGGGTTATGTGCTTACAAAATTACTGCTGTTGTAGCTGCTGTGGTCCAAGGATGTGGAGAGGAGAGGTTTGAAGGCAGGAAGGGCTGGAAAGGGATTTTGAGCTCCAAAACTTTGTATCAGCTGGTATGAGAAAACCTTAAACCTTCCTTTCAGGCTGCTGTATTTTGACTGAGTATCTTGGAATACATTAAAAACATTTACTTGAGTATTGTAAGTCTTCATGGTTTGATGGGGTTTTGAGAAACCTGGTCTAGTGGAAGGTGTCCCTGCCCATGGAACTGTAGATGCTCTTTAGGGTCCATTCCAACCCAGACCATTCTGTAGTTCTCTGGTTTAGCACAAGAATTTTTTCCATTTTGGTGAAGAAAGCAGCATGTTTTTCCGTGGTGTTTTGCATAGCAAGCCTCATAGATCATCTCCCTGATTCATTTGTAGTAGACAATGGCAAATTTTAAAGAGAGATGCTTTTAACTGTCTTGAACAGAGCATGTTCTGTGCGACAACAACATCTATATTGCAATTGTAATAACAAAACCCAAGATGATTCTGAATTTAGTTTCACACCAGCTAACAAGTGGACTCATTAAAAGGTGGTGTGAGGTTTTCTATGTATTGTTGACTCAACTCTAAAACATCTATAACTCTGCAAAATGTGTCTCAACTTGTTTACTAAGTGATAAGTATATTTTTAACGCATAGGTTTTGAAATTATTGGTGACTCCAGTTTGTCAAACAGCCCTTGTGGGGTGCTTTAGTTATTTCTTTATTAGTTATATATGAACGGCATTTTAATTTATACCTGCGTCTCTTTGTCTGAAAAGTTTTAAGTAATTCTGCAGGCTTGGTTTTTATAGACATTCAGTGTTAAGGAAAAAAAAAAAGGGTAGTAGAACATGTGTCAGGCATCTGCAATTCCTTCAGCATCATGTTTTCCACACTGATTTAATAGCTATTGAGTCTCCTCAAATGTCCTTGTTTCCAAGACCTGTTTTATGGTAATAAATCATCTTGACTGTAAAATTCTTGAAATGATTCAGTAGGGAGACCGTTTCCTTAGCACATTCCCTGGGAGATCATAGATAGAAATGGAAAAGTCTTTAACCTGGTCGACTTTTTCCCTGCAATACGTGTGGTCAGTGCTGGAAGCGATAACGAAATCACCAACATTTGTTCTGGTGAACTGCCGTTGTCCAGTTTTATTTCCTGGTAATTTACAGTGATTTTTCTGTTAGAGATCCTAAATTACTTGGAGAAATGCCAAGCCAGGTAAAGAATAAAAGCTGTGGGATGATGGTCTTGAAGGTCCTTTCCAACTGAGACCATTCTATGATAATGGAATCGTCCTTTAGGTTGTTTCAGTCTCAGGGAAGCAGTAATATCTGGGATTAGTTCTTCCATGGGCATTTCCTTAAAATAATCAGGCTTTGTGTTCTGGGATTCTTGATTCTCTTTCCTACCTCAGGACAGTAAATAAAGCTTTGCATCTAGCCCAAGATTCATAGCAGATTAATGTATTAAATTAGATTAAATCTCTTGCATTTGTTTTGGAAAAGGGAACCTTGTATTCTTACAGGCCTCACCTGCCAAACAGAGAGATTTCCATTTAAACTGTGCATTTTAATCAGATGCTTCTACTGCAAGGCATAAACCTTACGTTTTTCAATGGTATACTTTAAATAATGATCTGAAATAGCTTTTGTTTTAGTCATGATAGTAGTCTCTGCTCAAAAGGTGGGCTCCAAGATTCCATCTGCCCTGCAGGATCTTGGCAAGGGTATATTGTGTCATGTCAGTGTATCCATCCCAGTTCATGTCTTACAGAAAAAGAGGTTAATACCAGGCACACAGACATGTTTAGGGTTGGTAGAAAAATTTCTTGTCACAGTCCTGTTTAAATGGTTGGTTGTGTGAAGACAGAGGGTGGTCTTAAGAAGGGACCAGATCATTAGAAGCTTTCTGCTGGCTGAGTAAGCTCTGCCAACTCACTTTCCTTCCACAGAGTTGCTCTGTCGGTTGTGTTTGTCCCATGTACCTGTGAAATGAGGGCACCAGGGCTGCTTCAACTTTCAGACACAGTATTAATATTTTGACTCTTTAGCAGTATCTAACCTCAAGAGACAGCCCACGCCTTGCCCATCTGTGAGCAAATAGGTGACTTGGAGCATATTGCCCTTCACTCTGAATGACAGAGAGAGTTTGAAGAGAAAAGGACAGGCAGCAAGGGTAAATTTTCCTCTTTAGATATCCCTTTGCTTCTGAGAAGGTCCACAGGCATGGATGGCATAAATGGAGACAAACCCCAAAGAGGTCAGTGTTGTTGGAAGTGTGAGGAGTAGCCATTCCCACAGGCAGTGGGTATTCAAAAGAAAACTCTCCATTTGACAGTGATGTCTTCTGGATGACTTAGAAACATAAAAAAACACAACTTGGTTGTAAAAGAAGGCTTTTAATTTATGTCAGATGTGAAAGTACCTGTAAGTTTGATGTGTGCTTTGCAGAAAGTGAGGAGCGTGCTAAGATCAGTTTTTAGATTTCCATTTTGTGAGTTGCCTCTGTGGCTTGACATAGAAAACTCTGGCACCACCATTAACACTGAGAAATTTTGGTGTGTCTTTTGTGGGAGCCATCCTTGTGCCCCAGAGGTAGGAGCTGTGTGCTGAAGTGGTCTGTGTTACTCGCTGCATTTCACGGGGCTAAAAAATGGTCTGGCAGTGTTTTGGATAATTGTTTCATCTCTGCCTGCAGTGAAGTGTACCTAGAGCTGAACAGATAATACATAAAATACATTGTACATTATGTTAATTCAGCAAATGGAAACATCATAAATATATATATATATTTAGCTGCATCTTAACACTTTTAATTTTCATACGGTTTCCAAGCACTCTTTTCTCTCCTCGTAAGATAAAAAATGAGTGCTAGTTCAAACCTGTATTCAATGTGCCTATAGGAAAAAGAATTTGCCTTTAGATAAAAATTTAGGACTTTTTTTTTTTCCCCTTATTTTCTTGGTTCTGAAATACTAAATCCTTTTATACTGTATGTGTCCAGAAGAGGAGATAATGGGTGAGGTACCACATCAAGAAAAAAAAAATATCTGTGGAGCTCAGAATTAACACTTAAAGCTACGTGGAAAATCTTTCTGGATTGCAAAGTAGGATTTAAGTTTTTTTAAATGAAAGGATGGTAGGACACAGAGATGGAGCCTGGAGATCTGTGTGCTGTTTGTGCTTCTCATCTGTTGCATAAGCTTGGACAAGCTGCTTTACATTTTCCTGCTTCACTTCTCCTGTCAGAGATCTGTGTGTTTTACTTGCTGTTGGGAAGGCACTTCAAAATCTTCAATTAGTATTATCGTGGACTTCTCTAAGCTTACTTCAAATCCATTTCCTCCTCACTCTTGCCTTTCTAAAGACAAGAATAAATAGATTTTTTTTTTTTCAAATGGCATTGATTGACTGATATTCTGCAGCTGCTTAAGGTAGGATTTAACTGGTGCTTTCTATTGTCTGAGCATCCACTGAGCAGCTCCAAATCAAGAGTCCTGTTGGGTACATCGTGTCTCTGGTTCTGTCAGGGACATGGTCTGCCAGGAGGTACTTCCTTCTTGTTTTTAATCAGCAGCCTGGAGTTTCCAAACCTCCTGGAGTAACAGACCTTTGCAGGCAGCTTTACACTCCCATTGGCTGATCTTACACATAAATCAGCCGGATCTTGGAGCATTGTGGATGGGTGGCTGACCCAGGTGACACTGGAAACACAGTTTGTATCACCAGAAATCACTGTCAGGCTTTTGATGTGCTCTGCAGGGTCCTCGGGTGTGTGGCACAGCATTCCTGAACACCTCATCACCTCCTGGCCCCCGGAGGTGCGGGGCCGATGGACCAAACTGGGGCACAGCGAGTGTGAACCTCAGTGCAGAGAGTTCTTGTCTGAGGTGCTTCTGCTCCTGCAAATGCAAGAAATGAATTCTCAAGCAGGAATTTACACTGTGTGGGTGCAGTGGTTAACCAGGAAAATGCATCGATCCTGCGCAGCCAGGTGCTCCAGAAATAGTTTAGTTTATAGAGTTAAATCACCCCACTAAGAAGAAACCACTCTCCAGTGAAACATCCGTGCCCAGAAGCAGCTGCCACACTGCTGGGCAGCTTTGCATTCTCCATTAATGTTACCAGTGTTCTGGCAAGGGTCCCACGTAGGGAGCTGAGGAAGTGGATGGTATAAAAGCAGAACTCTTTGGGTTTTTTGTTCTGCCTTGACCCGTCAGCCCTTCCCGCGACTGTGCTGTGACAGAGCATCTGCATTCCACGTCTGGGGACACACGGAGAGTGAACTCCTGAAGGACGTTTGCTGATCCCTGTGCTTTGGTTCAGGGGTGTGAAAAGCCCTGCAGGCTGTACACAAGCGAACTGTAATTTATTTTAATTAAATACAATAGCTGCACACACACTGCAGAAGGGATAAGACAGGGATTCCCCACCTCTGATTTATCGTCTTGCTGCTTGGATTTCTTTGCTATTGTCTTCCCACTCACAGATTTATGCGGAGATGTCTCATCCTCTCCCTCCTGTGCTGTTAGCATTGGCATCTATCTTTTGAAATACAGCAAATTTTCTGAGATTTTTTCAGTTGTTGAGAAGCCTTTCCTGCTGTATGATAGCGGAGGCATCCCTGCCCTTCCTGACACACACACCCCTGTGCAACGTTTATTTTAAATAGAGAGCTACAGGAAGCAAAATCCTGATCCCTTGGGAGCCTTCTCA